CCCCCCCCCCCCCCCCCCCCCCCCTAACAAACAGTTCCTCTGCGCCCTCCCCGTGGCCACACGCCCCCTCTGGGCCTCGAGGATATCATCCCTCCTGTCCCCCCGATCCGGAAGGCTGATCTGCCTAGAGTTCCCTTCTGGCCAGCCCCTGTCGCGCCCGGGACCCCCCTTCGGCGTGAACCCGGAGGTGTACGAGGCCCTGCTGGCCTGCCCGGGCGACGAGGTCGAGTACGACGCCGCCGGGGACGGGACCGTGGTCGAGAGGCCGAGCGCACAGCCGCCCCGGGATCTGGGCGGCGTGCACCGCCTCGCGCTGATCAAGCCCATCAGGACGCACAAGGCTGGCATGGCTGATGATGGGAGCGTGCGTGATTTCGTATCTGTCTGGAGTAAATAGACCGGCTCTCTCTCTCTCCTCTGTCCTTCTCTCGCTCACTCACTCGTTTGCCTCCCCTACTCACTCCATCTCTCTTTTTTTTTTCATCATGTTCGATTGTTGGTCTGTTGCTTCGACTTGTATGTATGCATGTATGTGTGTGTGTATGTGTGTTGCTTAGAGAAAGAAAGAAGAAAAAGAAAAGCGATGCTGTATTGTACATACCCCCCCCCCCCCTCCATCTTGAGATAGAAGTAGAATAGAAGATGGGGAAAAAAGAAATAGAAAAAGAAATGGGAAAAAATCAGAAAGAAATAGAGAGGGAGGGAAAAGAAGAAGAAAAAAAGAGGAAGGAGAGGAAGGAGAAAGAGAAAAGAGAGTTACTTTCTCCTCAATGAATTATAATGCTCCCCCAATCCATACCCGTGCCGATAATACGCCAGCCAGAGCGTCGTCTCGACTCCCTCCCCCTCGCCTATCCTCTCCATCCTCCCGTCCTGCACCACGCGAATCTCGACGCCGTACCGCCTTGCCAGGGCCGTGAGCTCCATCTGCCCTCCCCACTCTGCCGTGTCGCGCATCTTACCCAGGTACGTGTCCAGGTCCTCGTCCAGGAAGGGTGAGAAGTCGTCCGCGTGGCTGGCCATGTACTCCACCGCCGCGCGTCGGACCACCTTGTATGCCGGCGTAGCGCCAGGAACAGCACCAGCGCCCGCACCAGCAGGAGACGGCGTTGATTGTGGCGACGGAGGAGGAGGAGAAGGAGGAGATGCATCCAGGGGGATTCCATGCTGACCCAGCTGATCCGCCACGGCAGAAAAGAGGCAGTGGCCGTCCGGGTCAATCTCCTTCTCCACGAGGCCGTAGGTTCCAAACATCTTGGCCATGTACTCCCCCTCTCGCGCCCGGTTGTCCGTCATGTGCGAGGCTTCCTCCTCTGCCCGCTCCGCCGCCTCTTCCTGCTCTGCTGCCCTCCTGGCCAGACGCTCCTTTTGACGGTTGCGCTTCTTTCCCGTCCCTCCTGCTCCTGCTCCTGCTCCTGCTCCTGCTCCTGCTCCTGCTCCTGCTCCTGCTCCTGCTCTCCCCGTTCCGTCGCCGTTCGTAGCCGTCGCCGTTGCTTTCGCAGGTGGAGAGGGAGGGGAAGAGATGTGCAGCTTCTGCGCAGCCTTTTCCAGCTCCCCCCCGACTTTGTCCTCGATCCTTTCCAACCGGCTCTTGTTCTGAGAGTCTTTTTCGTCGTCGTCGTCGTCGTCGTCGTCGTCGTCCGGATCCGGGCCAGACCTGTCCCCGGCGCTCGTCGCCGTCATCGTAGCAGCCACAACCTCTCCCTCTTGCTTCTCCCTCAGTCGCCTCTCCATGTCGGCGCACTCCTCATTGACCCCCTTGCGCGTCTTCTTGGTCGCATTCTTCTTCTTGCTCGTTATCCGTCCCTGCAGCTCCTTGAGTTCCTTTCGATGTCGAGACTGCAGCTCTTCCAGGGTCTCCGCTGCTTCTCTTGTTGCGTCCATGGCGGTGGTGACGGTAGTGGAGCTATGCGTGTTGATCGTAGTTGCGTGGTCGTGGAGCAGTAGATGATTTGGGTATGCGATAGATATGTGCCGATGCTCTCTGTACTCTCCTTCTATTTTTTTTCCCCGTCGCTCTCGTCTCGTCCGTTGATTCCGGTTCGTTCGCCAGCTGTAGGGAAGACTGACGAGTATAAGTATATATATATATATATATATATATTCATACATATATATCAATCGACCAATCGTGGAGTCCTGAAAGAATACCGAAATGAGGTGGGAGACGGAGAAGAGGCAAGTTTTCGTTCTGGTGGGCTTTTTTCTCTCTTCTTCTTCCGAGAAAACTTGGTGGGGTACAGGTGGTGACGCACTTCCCACCTAAGAATACTTGCTGATCCACCGCAGCCACTTCATCGCACCGTCTACACTCTCATCAGTTCGCGAGTGCCTCACGCCGGCCTTTGTCAGGGAGGCTCTTCGCGCTACGCTCTGCTCACTTGGTAGACCGCAAAGAATACCTCCGTCGGGCCCTGCTACGGGAGCTCTCCTCGCTACGCTTGCTTGTAATACCTAACTCTCGACTGACGACTTGTATAGAGTAAGTGGTTATAGTAGTATATGCCTCCGGTGGCCCTTCCCAGGGAGACCCTCCCCGCTACGCTTCGCTCGCTATTCAGAAGGAAGAGAAATCGTATAATATGTCAACTATATAAATAATGCTAACCCTAGTGGTATCCTATATATAAAAAAAGAAGAAGGCAAGAAGAATGAATAAATAATAAATGATAAATGATACTTTAAAAGAGAAAAAAAAGCAACGAGAGGAAGAAAACAGAGGGGGGGTAAAAAAAAGAATGAAAACAAAAGGGAGAGAGACAAGCGAGCGAGACAAGAAAAAGAAGAAAAGGTATCCCAAAAGGAAAAGGAAAAATCCTCTTAACCACATCAATATACAGATCAATATCAACATAAACTAGAAGAGCAAACCCCCCCCCCCCCCAAAAAAAAAGGATTTATTGGCCGGCAAGAACACCGAGACCGAGAGGCAGGGGGAGCAGGGAGAGGAAGAAGAAAAAAAGATATACCTTAGAATCCCCTAAACGGGTCATCTCGGAAGTAATCCTCCTCGCCCCCCGCCGTCGAAGATCCTCCCCGAGCCCTGGACCCGTAGCTGTAGTAGCTTCCGCTGTCCCTGGTGCGACTCCCGCTGCGGCGCGACTGCCTCCTCCTCAGCTCCTTGCTCCGCCGGCGCGCCACCTGCCTCAGCTCGTCCTGCTCGTCGGGGTAGTCCCCAAACTGCGACGGCCCGAGGGGGCTGATGAAGGCTTCCATGCGCACCGTGCCGATGGCGTCGAAGAAGTTGGACGGCCGCGATGACGCCTCCGACGTGCGCTGCGACGATCCGCCCGCCTGACTCGACATGCCCCACTGTGACTGCGAGGGTTGCGACTGCGTCTGCGACTGAGACTGGTAGGAGTAGTCTGATGAGCCGGCCGTGCCGATGCTCGCGCCTGCCGTGCTGCCCGTCGGGCGGTGGCCCGACGACCCGCCCGCGCTCAGGCTGGGTGCCGGCCCGGAGAAGCCCCTGAACGACAGGGGCGGAGGGACGTGTCCGCCCGTGTTGCTCCTCTTGCGTCCGTGCACGGCGGTCTGGTTGGCCCGTTCCTGGAACCGGGGTATCATCGGCGGCTCGGCCGTGTCGTACGACTGGTCTCGGGTATGGCTGGTCGTGATAGCCCCGATGGCGAAGTCGGCTGCTGTCGGGGGTGCCCCCGCATTCGTCGCGTCACTCATCTGCTCCGGCAGAGTGGTCGGGATGCTGGGGATGGGTGGCTCGGATGGCACCTGTACCGGTCCTCCTCCCATCCCGCCGCCGGCCCCGCGGCCCTTGGCCAGCCGGATCGAGTCGCGGATGCCCGACCGCTTCGCCTTGGGTAGCGAAGGTGCCGGTGCGCCGTCGTCCATGGCCACCGTCGCCGGCGACAGCAGCTCCTTGTGGTGCGCTCGCTGTGGCAGCGGCGAGCTGACAATCTCCGGCACAGCCTGCGACGAGTGCGCCAGGAAGGACAGCGCCGTCAGCCAGACGTAGTGCCTCTCGGCCGACGTAGCCGTGAACTTGAGGGCTCGCTGGGGTGTCAGGATCAGGACGGAGCGGTTGAAGACGCCTCCGGCGAAGCCCTTGGGCGCGGCATTGTCATCCTTGACATCCAGCACGGATTGGATCATCACTGCAGTGGCTCGGTCAGTAAAAAGCTTCTTCGGTCGTGAGAGGAGCAGCGGTGCAGTCACTCACGCTTCCTTCCTGCCTTGCCCATCAGGGCGCTCCCCGATGACGGCTGCTTGCTACTCCACAGGATGGCTCTCTCGTACGGCGCCAGCCACACCCACCGCCTGTGGCGGTCATTCCCGGAATCGTCCTTGCCGTTGCCGTTCGTCTCGGGGACGTTGAACGACTTGCGCCTCCGAACGTACTTGAACATCCACTCGCCCACCATGCACTGGGCAATGGCGTCGACGACGGACGTCTGGCTACCGCCGTTGCTGATGACGCCGTTGCTTGCGCCGCTGATCACGGACACCGGGTCCGTGGCGTTTGTCCCGTTGGTCCCGTTGGTCCCGTTGGTCATGTTGGTCGCATACGTTCCGTTGGTCATGCTGGTCACGTTGGTCTTGTCCGTCGTGTTGGACGCGCGGGGTCGGTGCCTCCTGTAGTGGCTGTTGCCGCGGCTGCGGCGGTTACGCGGCGTCGTGATGTCGTTGCGCGGCAGGGGAGGCAGGCCGGGGCTCTCGGGCGCCTCGGTCGAGGGAGACAGGGGGGGAGGTGACTTGCTGCCATGCCTGCGGTAGCGCTGGTTCTGGCTCCCGTGCTGACGGGGCAGGGTGGCGGCTGACCGCGTCTTGCGGAGGCTGCTGGACGTGCTGGGTCGGTAGACGTGGGTACGTGCGTTGCGGCGCTGCCATCCGTCGACGCGTGTGGGTGACCTCCGGCCTTCGCTGGTCGGAGCGCTCGAGATGGGCTTCCTCGAGCTCGCCCGCGCAGGGATAGGGAACGGCGGGTATCGGGCGTCAGGCAGGCTAGGGCTCCGCGAGCGGCCGCCGGCCATGTGACTGGCCATGCCGCTCTGGATCACGGCGGCCTTGCGCATAGCGCTGCTGCTGTCGGTGCCGCCCGGGGCGTTGTTGCTGGGCGACGACCTGCCATCGATCGAGCTGTAGCTGCCGTACACCTGGGCGGCGATGGGCCTGACAGAGTTCCTGGGCGCCTGCCTCATGGACACGCGGTCCGGCGACGTCGGAGACGTCAGGGTGTCGGTCGGGCTGCGGGCACCGCCGCGGCTGGAGATGGACTGCGGCCGTGGGGCAGACAGGGCTGTGCGGAACTCGCTGTCGCTGTTGTCCTCGTCAGCAAACTCGGCCTCGTCAGAGCTGGCCGTATCGAAACCGGCAAAGAGGCTGCTGAAGCGGTGCGGCCTCTTGGGGGCGGCCCTGTCATCCGACAGGGGCCCGTTGTCGTTGTTGCCTGGATACGAGTCGCGGAGCTCGTCGTCGTCTCGGCCCGGCGGCGGGAGCGACGGCGACACCGGCGGCTGCTGCTGCTGATCCGTCGGCGTCGGGCCGGCTCCTGCTGCCGTGACAGTTGCCGCCTTGGCCAGACGACGCGGGTTGCGCGGGGGTGCCACGCTGGGCACCGCGTTGAAACGCCTGTCCATGTCCGCCCCAGCGGGAACAGGGTTCGGCGACGAGGGCCTCGACGTGATGGACGACGGCTGCAGGTGCGCGGGCAGCTTGGCCAGGCGCTTATCAACCTGAATACCCTCCGTCTGGATGCAGGCGTCGCTCGTGGTCGCGGACAGGGGCATGTTGACCTGACAGCCAAAGTGCTTGGACAGAGGCGGGAGGCGGGGCTCGCGGGGAGTCGTCGGCCGGCTCGTCGGTGGCTGGATGCTGATGCTCGGGATAGGCGGCGGTGAGGGTGACGGACGAGGAAGATGCTGTCGTGTACGAGGAGGGCTGGGGGCTGCCGGTTCTTCCGGCTCCGACTCTGACTCCGGCTCCGGCTCCGGCTCCGGCTCCGGCTGTGGCGCTGCCGGTGGTTCCTCAGTCTGCGTCGACGTCGTGATCATGATGACCGGTGGCTCCGCCGTCTCCTCCTCAGGCGTCGCGGGGCGTCGAGGTGTATCAGGCGGGCTTATCGGCTCCTCGACCGTCTGGGACGAGGAAGACACCATCTTGCTGGGTGGCGGCTGCTCCGTCGGCGGTTGATCCAGCACCGTCCGGGTGGCGGTCGAGGTGAGCTGGACCCTCTTGCGTTGTCGGTCGGCCTCAGCCTCCGAGTCGCCGCGGGGCGGTGATGCGACGCCGTCGTCCTCGGCAAGCTTCATCGGGGGGGTGGGCGTCTCGGGTTCAGTCTCGGGCTCTGGCCCTAGCTCTAGCTCTAGCTCCGGCTCCGGCTCCGGCTCCGGCTCCGGATCGGCGGCCTGGGCGACCGGCGAGGGAGGAGGCGTGTACTGCACACCGGTGTCGGTGTATGTGGGCTTCTCCATGATGGTGACCTCCTCCTCCTCGCCCTCCAGGGCTTCGAGTACCGAGGGGTTCATGAAGATCTTGCCACGGACCATGCTTCCGGGGCGCTTCAAGCTGTCGATGCTTTGGTTCCTGACGTGCCTGGGGCCGACGGCGCCGACGCTATCCCTGCTAAAGTTCCTGGCGTGGCCGTGCTGGCTCGTGTGGCCGGAGAAGACGCTCTCCCGGCCGTCCCAGTCGGTCTCGTCGTCATCGTCGAGGTCGAGCTCGTCGGCGAGGGTGTTGCCGGGGATCTTGCTGATGATGGAGCCGCGGTTGGGGTGGGCGTAGGAGAAGCGGATGCTGTTGGTCACGCTCATGGACCGGACGCTCCCGCCGTCGTTCTCGCGGCCGCTCTCGACGTCGCTCTCGTTTCCGCCGGCGGCGCCGTTGGCCTGCGCGGCCTGGAAGGCGGCAACCTCGTCGAGGACGACCCTCAGCCTGCTCTCGGCGACGTGGAGCTTGCGCTCAAACTTGCGCCTCTCCTCGTCCCAGTCATCCTTCTCGCGGGCCCACTGGTCATGGACTCGTTGCGAATCCTCGTCCTGGGTACGGATCTTCTTCTGGGCCGTCTCGAGACGCTTCCTGGCATCTGCGGAAGCTTCGACGGCCTCGTCCCTTTCCCTGGCAAGCTCACCTAGGGCTGACGAGGTGCCGCCTTCGAGGAGGGCCAGTTGGCGCTTCAGCGAGCGATTCTCCTTTGCGGTGACGCTGAAGCTCTCGACAGCATCCTCCTGCTCCTTGTGGGAGATGCTGAGGGTGTGTTCCAGGCTCTCGATCAGCTTGATCTTCTCCTCCTGGTCCCTCCGCAAGGACAGGATCTCGGATACCAGGTTGGCGTGCAGGGTCGGGGTAAAGCGGCGAGGATCCAGGATGCTGATGGAGTCGTCGTTTGTGATGTCCCTGGAGGTGCGCTTCGAGTGGCGGCGGTCCTTGCGTTCGCTGTGCATGGGAGGAGGCGAAGACGGGACTCTAGGCGGCGGAGTGAGGGAACGGCGGTTCATCTTGTTGGCTGGCGTAGACTGCGTAGACAGCGGTAACGACGCAGTGGCCGGGCCACTGAGGTAGTCGTCGTCCCAGTCGGCCATTGTCGAGATAGATGACGGCGGACCGACGCGTCGCCTCGGAAGAGATGGGCCTAAACGTAGGTTGGGAGCCGCATGGGCCTTGAGCGGCCACAGGCAGCTACCGACAAGGGAAGGGGGCCGCTCTCGCCGGTAGGGTTACGGGGCAGGAAATGATTCAACGGGTTCTCAACACGGTACCCCGCTCTCCCAATCGAGGGGGACGGATTTGCCTTGCAACTATGCATGGGATAATGGTCAGCGTACGGAAAAGGCAACGACGTACATTCGACATGCATGTCTCGTCTCGAGCAGTGGGTCTGAGCGCGGCAGGTCGACGTCGAGGGCTGGGAAGAGATGTGACGGCAGAGCTGAACTCACACTTGGGTCTCGAGGGCCGGAAGCCGAAGTTGGAAGATGCCAGGGTTCCGTCGCGTATGGGTATATATATATATGTGTGTGTGTGTATACACTATGGTATGTAAGAAAGATGGATGAGAAATAGACTGGACGGCGTGTTAGTTGGCGTGTTAGTTCGTAGCCTGGACGGTGCATCGTGTAAGCCAGCACAGAGCTACAGATGGCCGGCAAGAACTGGGAGGGCAGGGCAAGCCGAACGTATACATGCAGACGGTCCCGGGGGGG